TTATCAAATGTTATATCAAAAGTTTCGAGACCACATTCAATCAACACCAATACTAAGAATACACCGCTTAACCTTTCACATCGGTCATCAGCCTTTAAAGAAACAGGAAAACCGAAAAGACAAAAAATTCATCACGTAATTCACAAACAAAACAATATAAAAAACTACATTACCAAACCAAATAATATGGATTTAACATCAAACCAAACACAACCCATACTATTTCCATTGATTCAAATTCCTCAAGACGTTTCACATCATGAAATACGCAGTATTGAGATGTTAACAAGTTGCCTTGAACAAACCGATTTTCAAACTGTTCTGGCTGCAGAACATGTTTGCCGTTTGTGGAAATGTGCAGGTAAGATAATGAACTTTATAAATATAATTTTAAATTTATATAAATTTTCCTTTATAAAAAAGCATTGTTAGCATGGAGGGGACTTTGCAAACGAAATTTTAACGGTATGCTGCTAAATAACGCATTGCGTCAATATCCTAATCCGTATAATTCATTCAAAAATTACTATAAACGACGATGGAAAATCCGTCGTTACAATATCACTTTGATATCGCGTAGCTGGATTGGACAACTTTATGGAAATCTTGGGCACTCACCTACAGTTACCATTAACAATAATGTATTCATGTATGGAATTCATCAAAAACTATATTCTAGTAATGACCACCTATATTAATATAATCACCTCATTTCCTATGATCTGTCCAGTCATTCTCAACACGAACACTCCTCTAGAGGGTGTTTGAACAAAGCATACATTTTCGTTCAACGTCTTTCCAAAAACCTTTTCTCCTGGCAGTTTTATTGACTCAACGCATTCTAGCAACGAATGTTTAAATGCCAATATACGTGCAACTTTCAAATGCGGCTTGGGTTGCGAAGTTCCCGAGACCGTAAAAGGTTCAACAGACGAAAGAACGTACCTTGCCGAATAGATATATTCCAAAGGATTACTTTCAAAAGTTATGGATTTATGAATTGAATTTGGATAGTTTTCATTTTCAGTGATAACTTTGTTAATTAAAAAGACTGGTAAATTATCGATTGTTGACGGTAAAATATATTCTTTGTTTTTATCCGGTATAAACTGAGATTTCGAACAAATGTAAGTTGCCCAATCTACTCTTAATTGCTCTTTAACTTCACCGTAATGTAATTCTGCTGCGATCCAAATCAAACGAAAAATGTTGAGAAAGTTTTACAGAAGCCTGATAAACGTGAAGTTAGTGATAATATTGAGG